TGGTGCTTGTTGCTGCTGCCGTTGTTGTTGCTGAGGTTGCAATTGAAAGGTTTGGTTAGCATCAACTGCATTAGCATGTGCCTTACCTTTCCCCCGTGGGATGAAATTCTGTTGCGGAGCATTATTCGCCTGTTGGCCTCTCTCCGCCTTCTTTCTTCTGATGAATCGTTGCTTCTAGCACGTCCAGTGCGAGGTTGTTGTGGCACGTCTGGAGGATGAATTCCTCGGTGATCGGGTCCCGACAGTTCATCGCCTTGTTCCGGAACCTCTTGATGAAGGTGTCCACCAATTCCCCATCTTTCTGTTTCTCATCAAGCAATGACCCGATGGATATCACTGTGTCGTCGTCAAAGAAGTTGGCGAGGAATTTAGTCTCCATGTCATCCCAACTATTTACGCTACCTAGCTTGAGGCGGCGATACCAATCGAAGGCGGCTCCGCGAAGAGTGCCGACGAATGACCGCACCATCAGAGGCTCATTGCCGGAGATTACTCCCAAGTGTGATTTGAAGTAAATCAAATGTTGAGTGGGGGAACCCATCCCATTAAACGGCGTGAAGTTAATTAGGTTGAACTTCGCTGGATATGGAATTGATTCCCATTCTCTTGGGTATAGGCAAGGAATGCCTGTTTTCTTCGTCTCTTGAGCGGAGATCAATGTGTTGATTTTGCTCTCGAGGTTCTTGATCTTCAGGTTTTCGCCGGTTTCTTCGCCAGCATTCTCATTACCACCCCCTGCGTTGACGGGAGGATCATTGGTGTTACGAGCATTTGTATCCTCATCTTCCACATTAATCGGGTTACGATGATTCTGCTCGCCTTGTTGGTTCGCCAATGCTTGGATCTGTTGGTCATGCATTTCTCTCATCTGCTGCATGGCCATCTCCATCTCAAATTTGAAACTTTCTTTCTGCTTAGCCAAAGCGTCTTCAAGCATCTTGGCCATCTGCTCCGCACTTATCATGGGTCCTAGGCCGGGATGCTTTCAGAATTGACTCGAGATTATCTCGCGCCGATGTCCCTCTGCTGGTCATATTGGTGGTGACCCTCGGAAATTCTCCCTCTTCAACCACCGTTCTTCTTCGTCGGAAACGCCTAGGCCTTGTCTTTGGCGTTTCGGTACTGAGCCTTTCGAAAACCAAAACTCGTTCGGGGACCGCCTTGATACAGCTGCATTCAGACAATACTGTCCGAATGAGTTTAGAACAGGGGCACTGAGTTTCCTGTTTTTGGGGACTCCTTTTCCTGGTTTTATTCGTACCCCCAGCACGATAGTACAACTCGTCTGCTTGACGATCGGAGTAACCTATCGTGTGTTGGCACGACTTCTCAGGTATAACATTATCGTCATCAGACGATAATGTTTCCTTCTGAGGGGGAACTGCCTTCTTCGGGCTTTCAAAAGTCACGCGCCTCGAAACATGTCTTTTTGGGCGTGAGTTCTCGGCGATCTCCTGGACTTCAATGCGCAAGTTGGTGCGCATGACTGCCTTGGTCTCTTTGTCATGCTGAAGGTGACGGCGACCCCCAGCATGCTGCGTCGTCCGGAGCTTTTTCATTGGGCCCAAACGATCTTGGACAGGAGCCTTGCCTCTCTCGTCGGGAATCGGACCGAGGCGCTCCAAGACTGGCTTCTTCCTTTGGGACGATTCTGCATGATCTCCCGGAGAAGCTATTGGGATTACCGGCGACTTTGGTTGATTCACCGGAGGTTGAACTTTGGTTGGAGGTTGCTTCGGCCTCCACACTTGGCGGGTTGACGGTGGCTTCTTGACCACTCTTCCTTTCTTCAATTCCTCAGCCTTCTGCACGAGGATTCTTGCTTGTGCAAGTAATGCGCGGCGTTTGTGAATCCGCTCCTCGAGTGTCGAACAGTTCCGTTTGACCCAGATCCATTCATTCGTTGGCGGCTTTGAGGAACCGCTATCCTTCAATTATTGAGGCTGTTTGCCTCTCCTGTTCTTTAGATCCGCGTTGTAGCGGACCCCGTCCGTGGACTCCATTGCTTTGGCGAATTGCCGCGCAAGGCGTTGACGTCGCCTCTGGCGGGCTCTCTTCGAGAGAGTCACAACGCCTTCAACAGTAGAAGCGTTGACGAGAACAGGTTTGACCTCGTTGGAGGTCGGTGGAACTTCACCTGACGCAACTTTGGCGTCAGCTGGGGTGAGAGCTTCGAGCCTTTCTCCTGGAGGAGAACTTCTTAGACTTGCGGGGGGAGGTAGATCCAGACGAGGATGAGAGGTACTCCTCGAATTTGGCCTGGTCGAATTCATACTCGACCTCCTCCTCGATCGGGATTGAGATCCGCGGCTGCGACGTGACGATCTCGGCAGCGAGATCGTTGGCTCCCACTGTGGTCGCCAGATTGTTCGCGGTGAAAATCGTGTCTTTCTTTGTAATTGATTCCATTGTCATCTTAAATAACAGCTTTTTGAGTTACAAAAGATCCGGTCTTTTTTAGATCCGGTTACAACGAAATCAAAGAAAATAAAAAATTCTCCTTAATTTCGAACAAAATCGCGGGCTCCTTGTTTGCGGCGCTCGGGCTTTTGCTGGGTTCTTTTGCCTGCGCGCGGGTTTATCGCGCGGGACCACCACCGAATCTAGATCCGTCGATCTACGCAGTACGGACGGGTTATTATGTTCACGAAAAGGAAATAATAGCCGGGGGGGATTGGTTCAGCCAAGAAAACAATCGCCCAAATCTGCGGGATCAAGACCAAGCTTTTGATCGGAGTATGCCTGCGTATCTGAGATCCGGTCCTCTCAAACTCTTGCCTTATTTGGCGTTGACGATCGCCGAGCACCAGATCTGGATGAACAAGTCCTCGAAGTCCCAAAGCTTGGATCTTTTTAAGTTCTGAGTCTTGAATCCAGCAGGGCTTCGCCTCTCCAAATTTTTCAACTTTTTGAAAATGAGCCTACAGCCCTCTATTTATAGGCATTGAAAGCGGATCTGGGCCCAGATCTGGGCCCAGATCCGAGCTGGCTCGGCCAGGTGGCTCGGCCAGGCCGAGACACTTGTGAGTGTCTCGGGTATTTTGAACATAACTTTCTCGTATGATCTCCAAATGACCTGATCCAAGATGCATTGGAAAGCTGACAAAGAGATCTACAACTGTCATATTTTGAGTTTCTTCATATTCTAACGGGATCATGGACAAAATAGCTCCACAAGTTCCGAGACACCTTTGGTTGTCTCGGCCAGGTCCGAGACACCTCTGGGTGTCTCGGCACTATTTTAGGCATAACTTCCTCATATGACCTATAAATGACCTGATTCCAGATGGGTTGGAAATTTGACAAAAATATCTACAACTTTCCTATTTTGAGTTTCTTCATATTCAAACGGGATCATGGTCAAAACAGCTTCACAAGTTCCGAGACACCTTTGGGTGTCTCGGCCAGGTCCGAGACACCTCTGAGTGTCTCAGCGCTATTTTAGGCATAACTTTCTCATATGACCTTCAAATAACCTGATTCCAGATGAGTTGGAAAGTTGACAAAAATATCTACAACTTTCCTGTTTTGTGTTTCTACAGATTAAAATGGAATCATAGTCAAAACAGCTCCACAAGTTCCGAGACACCTTTGGGTGTCTCGGCCAGGTCCGAGACACCTCTGGGTGTCTCGGCGCTATTTTAGGCATAACTTCCTCATATGACCTCCAAATGACCTGATTCTAGATGAGTTGGAAATTTGACAAAAATATCTACAACTTTCCTGTTTTTAGTTTCTTCAGATTCAAACGGGATCATGGTCAAAACAGCTCCACAAGTTCCGAGACACCTTTGGGTGTCTCAGCCAGGTCCGAGACACCTCTGGGTGTCTCGGTGCTATTTTAGGTATAACTTCCTCATATGACCTCCAAATGACCTGATTCCAGATGGTTTGGAAAGTTAACAAAAATATCTACAACTTTTCTGTTTTGAGTTTCTTCAGATTCAAACGAAATCATGGTAAAAACAGCTCCACAAGTTCTGAGACACCTTTGGGTGTCTCGGCTCGGGCTGAGACATTTTGTTTTGCACACTTGTCCATTTTCGCCATAACGTTTTCATCCGAACTCGGATTTAAGCGATTCAAAGTGCGTTGGAAAGACGATGAGGAGTTCTATAAGCTCCAATGATTAGATCATCTATGGAATAAATGAGACACGAAGGGTATTTCGTCTTTTGTAAGTGACACGGGGCTCACGATCCGTTCGTATCCTCATTATTCTGAAACTCCGTTGCTTCACATAGTTCGTCAACCCACTTCATGTGTTTGTCGACATTAATCAAGCTCCTGTGACTTAGATTATGATGTTCATCATTTTTTCTTAGCACTGAGCCGTTCGTAGGGACCTATAGGCAGTTTTATACGCCTACAGTGCTGAAGGACCCCTAGCTGCGGAGGAGTTCTTGAAGGTCACTGAGACTATTCTCACGGTGACCCGCATTGCCCCTGCTGAATGGGTGAACCTTATGGATATTCAGCTCATCGATCCTGCTTGGATATGGTGGGCAGCTGAGAAGACTCATCTGGAGAGGCCTATCCTGTGGGAGACATTCACCTAGCGCTTCAATAGGAAATATTTTCCTCAGTCAGCTCGGTATGAACTCCTACGTAGATTTGTTGAGCTTAAGCAAGGAGCACGAATAGTTGATGAATACGAGGCCGAGTTTTCTTCTTTGAGCCGATATGCTCCCCACTTAGTTACAGACCCTACGATTAGGAGGCATCGGTTTCAGAAGGGTCTGGACAAGTACATTAGGATGGCTCTGGCAGGTAGAGCTTTGGCGACCCATGATGCGGTACTAGATGCAGCACGCGAGATTGAGAGCATGCATAAGGAACCTGAAGACTCACACGTGATACAGAGCAGGACACCAGCAGCTCTGGCCCGGAATGTCGAGCGTCCCCCTTCGAGGCAGCAGCAGCAGACTCTGCAGAGGCAGCAACATTCTGAGCATCAGCCATTCCCTTAGAACTGTGCTACACCTGTGGATCCCCCGATCATGTTAGTTGGAACTGTCCGTAGCGGCAGCAGGCAAGTTTGCCCCCACCCCTAGTTCAGGTAGCTCTCCCAGCATCACCTTGACCAGCCCCGGTAGCACCGCCTCAGCACAAATCTTATCCTCAAGTAGGGCTACTTCCCCTACAGCAATAGGTATATCAGGAGGCACACAAGCAGCAACCTCAACGACAGATGTTCATGATGTCAGCCGTAGAAGCTGAGGCGAACGATCAAGTTATCACTACTAAAAATTATTTATTCTTAGTTTTATTTGCATATGAACTTCTTTATTTAACATTACTTGATAATATAACGGTAGGATTGGTTGTGAATACTAAGTTAGTTGCGTTATATCCTCCTAAATAGGCAAGGTTCTTGTTTTTTCTGTCCTACTTTATCGCTCTTTGATTCTAGAGCCTCCTATTGTTTCTTGTCTCGTCGATTTGTGAGTGCCCACTCTCTTCCTATATCTTCTCTGACTACGAGCTGGAATATCAACACTGGCAGTGGTGTCTTAGTAGCATCCCGTGGTTATGAATCATGCCCTGTGGTTATCCGCGGGAGGGAACTCTTTGTAGACTTTCTAATGATTGATTTGCTAAGCTTTGATGCAGTATTTAGGAAGGATTGGTTGGGGTCATTCTTTGCCACCATTGATTGTCGCCGTCGGAGCATAGTATTTGAGATACCGGATCACCCGAGATTTGAGTTACTCAGTGGTAGTACATCGGCCGGACCCATAGAGTACAGAGCTAGACCGAAGAAGGCGACGTTAGCTGCAATGCAAGTGGAATCTGAGAAGCCAGTTGTAGTTCAAGAATTTGAAGATGTGTTTCCCGACGATATTTACGGATTGCCACCGGATTGAGTAATTGAGTTTATCATAGATTTGAAGCCTGGAGTTGCTCTGATCTCCAAGACCCCTTATCGCATGCACCTAGCTGAGTTGGCCGAGCTTCGAACTCAGTTAGATGATCTTTTGCAGAGAAGCTTGATTCGACCTAGTGTATCGGCCTGGGGAGCACCTGTGTTGCTAGTGGGAAAGAAGGATGGATCCAAGCGGATGGGCATCGACTACCTGGAGGTGAATGCAGTGACAGTGAAGAATATGTATCCACTTCCCTGTATCAATGACATCTTCGATCAATTGGGAGGATCGAGAGTATTTTCTAAGCTGGATTTGTAGAGTGGGTATCATCAGGTGAAGGTTAAGGATTCTGATGTTTCTAAGACTGTGTTCCGGACAAGATATAGGCATTATGAATTCTTAGTGATGCCGTTTGGTGTGACTGATGTGCCAGCGACATTCATGAACCTGATGAATTTGGTATTCTATGATGTGCTAGACAAGTTTGTGGAAGTCTTTATTGATGATAACTTAGTGTACTCTAAGAGTGAAGCGGAGCATGCAGAGCATTTGTGGTACGTGTTGAAGACCTTGAGAGAGCATCGACTATTCGTCAAGTATAGTAAGTGCCAGTTTCGGCTAGATCGTATTGCGTTTCTAGGACACGTGGTGTCAGAAGACAGCATATCAGTGGATCCGAAGAAGGTATCTGCAGTGAAGGATTGTCCTACCCCTAAGTCGGTGTCTGACATTAAGAGCTTCCTGGAATTAGCTGGTTACTACAGTCGCTTCATCAGAGATTTTTTGAAGATTACGGAGCCGATGACACGACTTACGAGGAAGGATATTAAGTTTGTCTGGTCCGATGCTTGTGAGCAGGCGTTTGAGGAGTTGAAGTCTTGACTGATTTTGGCCCCAGTCCTGACGATACCAGATAAGAGCGGGAACTTTGAGGTGTTTTGGGACGCGTCAGGTAGAGGATTGGGATGCGTTCTTTAGCAGTACGGTCATGTGGTGGCATATGCTTCTCATTAGTTAAAGAAGCACGAGCAGAATTATCCTACCCACAACTTGGAGTTGGCAGCTGTGATTTTTACCCTTAAGCTTTGGAGGTATTATCTGTTAGGAGAGCAAGTGAAGGTGTTCACTGACCACAAGAGCTTGAAGTATATATTTACTCAGAAGGAGCTCAACATGAGGTAACATCGATGGTTAGAGCTGATGGCAGATTACGACATTGATCTTCAGTACCACCCTAGCAAGGTTAATGTGGTACCAGATGCTTTGAATCATTTTCTGACGATCATGACCCAGGAGGTGAGGGATATGAGTATAGAAGTTCTTCTTTCAGGAGTCATCGCTTCTTTGATGAATCTTCACATTCAATCGACATTGGTCGAGCGAATCACGACAGCTCAAGAAAGTGACCCATTTCTTTAGAAATGCAGAGAGTTGGCAGTGGCTGGTCTTCAACCGGCATTGTTGTTCATGAGGACGAATCCTTACGATTTGGGAGTCGTATCTGCGTACCAGGAGGAGATGTTCGAGAGGAGATATTATGGGAAGCTCATAGCTCACCGTATTCTATTCACCCTGGAGGTATGAAGATGTATAAGGATCTGAAGCTGAATTTTTGGTAGCGTGGTATGAAGAGAGATATGGCTCGTAGTGTGGCTAAGTGCCTTGTATGTCAGCAGGTGATGGTAGAGCATCGGCGCATCGCAGGTCTTTTGCAGCCGTTGCCTATTCTGGAATGGAAGTTGCAGCATGTCACCATGGACGTCACTGGCTTACCTCGGAGTACTAGACAAAATGACGTTTTCTAGATGATCGTAGATCGATTAACTAAATCGGCTCATTTCATTCCTTTCCGAGTGGGACAGTCAACGGAGCATCTTGCTCAGAGATACATGGAAGTAAATATTTATCTCTATATATTTCAATGAGTTCCTTCCCAAGAGTGTTAGTAAATCTCTCGTATTGTAGGAGATCGTGCGATTGCATGGTGTTCTAGTGTGCATCATCTCGGATCGGGATACCCGATTTACTTCAGAGTTCTGGAAGAGTTTACAGGCGAGTCTGGGGACCAATCTCAGTTTCAGTACAACTTATCATCCTCAGACCGATGGGCAATCAGAGAGAACCATTCAGATTTTGGAGGATATGCTTAGAGCTTGTATGCTTGACTTTCAAGGGTCATGGGAGGATCATCTACATGTGGTGGACTTTGCATACAACAATAGCTTCCAGGCTAGCATTAGGATGGCTCCTTTTCCAACATTGTATGGGAGGAAGTACCGCTCTCCTTTGAGTTGGGACGATGTTGGTGAACATGATATTTTTGGGCCAGAGTTGATTGAGAGATCAGTTGATGTAGTCAGGGTCATTCGGGAGCGACTTCGCATAGCCCAGGACAGATTCAAGCATTAGGCAGACACGAAGTGCTGGCACTTAGAGTTTCAGCCAGGAGATCGTATGTTCCTGAAGATTTCCCCAACTGAGGTACCATTCGCTTTGGAAGGCGTAGGAAGTTGAGTCCACGATATGTGGGACCTTTCGACGTATTAGAGAGAGTGGGAGAAGTGGCGTACCGACTTGCATTACCACCCGTCCGGGCTAGAGTGCATAACGTATTCCACGTTTTTTAGTTGCGAAGATATGTCGGAGATCCGAGTCATGTCGTAGATTTCTTAGAGATTGAGATGCGATCAGATTTGACATACGAGAAGCAGCCAGTGGCAATTTTGGACCGAAGGGAGAAGACCCTTCGGAACAAGACCGCTTCGCTTGTTCATGTGATGTGGCACCCAGATTCTCCTGGAGAGTCGACTTGGGAAACTGAGTCTGAGATGCGATAGCGATATCCTCATTTATTTCCTGAATCTTAGCTGTCATGTCTTGTATCTTATTTTGAATCGCCTTGTATGACTTTTTCTTATTTATGGATATGCAATATATTTTGAACCTTATATGAGTTGAACTAAATCTATCTTTATATTCGTCCTTGTTATTTTAATTCCGAGGATATAATTTGTTTTAAGGGGAGTAGGATGTAATGACCGTGAAATTTTGATACTACTTAAAATAATTTTTTAGTATTTTTTAAATATTTAATTATTAATTTTAGAAGAGTATTTGTATTTTTGTTGATTTTCTATAATTTTCTATGATTTAAAGTCTAAATTTTATATTTATTTAAACGGTTTTAATATTTATAAATTTCTCATGCAGTAAATTTTTTTTAGAATTAATTTGTTATGTTATCAGTACTATTACGTATTATTTTAAATAATATATTGTATTATTGTTACTATTACGTATTATTTTGTGTATTATGTTGAATTATTAATTACGTATTATTTGTGCAAATTATTGTATTATTTTAATTATTACGTATTAGCTGTCATATTAGTATAACTTGTAAGTTTTACTGTATATATAATTATTCCATAAATATTTGATTTTAAATATAAGTAAATTGTGACGCCCCAGGGTTCACACAAGGTTGTAGTCCCAGGTAAAACCCGGATTGTCAAACCTGCCAAGCACTAAACACCATGCTACGACATGTTTCACCATCACAATCGTTATCTCTCTAGTGGAAATAATAAATAGATGAAGGTACAGACATGTAAATAATCAAAATAGAGTAACACTGAAAATATACACAGAAGAAGCATAAGATATATTAATAATGAGCCCAACTGGAATGAAAATAAATAATATATCTCTGAGTCTGAACTGAATCTCAAATACAATGAGTCAAATAAACAAAGTCTCACAAGAGTTCTCAACTCTAAAATAAAATACCAATCTAGAGTCTAAAAATAATCAACTACATGTGAAGTTCTACAATAACTACAAAGTATAATAAATAGCTAAATGGACAACTAAGAAGTCCCATCAACCTACGACTCTTCATGCGTCGGACTCGCTGCCTGAAAGAGGGGAAACAACGAGCGTCAAAGCGTTAGCGAGATCATCACTACCTCTCCCCAGGGGAAGAGGTAGGAGCATATAAGAAAATAGAGTCAGTACATACATATATCAAATCATTCATATAGCTCTCTATGAATGAAAAATAAATAGTCAAGGAAACATACTCCAATCTCCAACATAAAGAATAAATATCTCATCTCGAAGTACATCCGAGTAGCCTACTCTAATATAAGAGGATGTCAACCAAAACAAAATGAAATATAATTGTCGTCCATAACGGGTGTGCCAAAATTTCAAAGTAAATACCATACTCACGGGTAATCTATAATGGCGAAGTAAGACTTATATCTGATCAAAAATCTATGTGTCCATCATCTTGTGCTATAGCGATACTCTTGTAATGCTCTTACTCAATCGCTCTGCGACAATAGGTTTTATTATCTCCCTATTCCGGATACATGTAATAACAATACTTTTGTAATACTCTTATTCAATCGTTCTGCGGCAAATAGGTTTCATCTCCCTATTTCCGGATACATATAGAACAACATTATTCATATGTGTTTATCAACTTAACTCGTGCCGAAAGTGTGTCAATCTAACACAATCTAGCATAAATGCACCAATCTCGGTGTACGTGTCCACATCTGAAGTTCACCCTCATCCCAGGTGTTAAACAATCACTAACATAATAGTCTATCATCATTAGATCGAGAAATCTGCTCGACAAACCAAAATCAAGCCATATAAACATGCACAGCCAAAAACAAACTGGCGGTCGACTGCGACGGGCTCCAGAGGCTAACCTAGCTTCTGTCCTGCACGCGGTCGACCATGACGGTCGACCGTGAACCCTATTCCCAGATTCTCATGTTCTTTGTGTATGTTGTGTTCACATCGTGTTTTTAGGATTCAAACATGATTAAATCTTCATGAAACTTGTATGCAAACATGCCACAACAGATATGAACATCTGGAAATAACTCAACAATTATAAACATGATTTTATACATTAGATTTGTATTCAAAACCCTAAAAACATGCATAAAAGCTCAAAACAACGAATCAAACTTCTTTCTTTA